ATGAAAATGCTCTCGGATGTGGATGAAAATGCTCCGGAATTGGATGAAAATGCTCTCTGGAATGTGGATGAAATGCTCTCTGGAATGTGGATGAAAATGCTCTCTGGAATGTGAATGCTGGATGTGAAAATGCTCTCGGAATGTGGATGAAAATGCTCTTGGAATGTGGAATGAAAATGCTCTCGGAATGTGGATGAAAATGCTCTCGGAATGTGGATGAAAATGCTCTTGATGTGATGAAAAATGCTCTCGGAATGTGGATGAAAATGCTCTCTGAATGTGGATGAAAATGCTCTCGGTGTGGATGAAAATGCTCTCTGGATGTGGATGAAAATGCTCTCGGAATGGGACGAAAATGCTCTCGGAATGGTGGATGAAATGCTCTCTGGAATGTGGATGAAAATGCTCTCTCGGAATGTGGATGAAAATGCTCTCTGGAATTGGATGGCTCTCGGAATTGGAAAATGCTCTCGGAATGTGGATGGAAATGCTCTCTGGAATGTGGATGAAAATGCTCTCGGAATCTCGGAATGTGGATGGAATGCTCTCGGAATGTGGATGGAAATGCTCGCGAATGTGGGATGAAAATGCTCTCGAATGTGGATGGAAATGCTCTCGGAATGTGGATGGAAATGCTCTCGGAATGTGGATGAAATGCTCTTGCAAATGTGATGAAATGAATGCTCTCTGCAATGTGGATGAAAATGCTCTCGGATGTGGATGAAAATCTCGCAATGTGATGAAAATGCTCTCTCAATGTGGATGAAGCTCTCTGAATGGGATGAAAATCTCTCGGAATGTGGATGAAAATGCTCACGGAATGTGGATGAAAATGCTCTCGGAATGTGGATGAAAAATGCTCTCGAATTGGTGAAATGCTCTCGCAATGTGAATTGAAAATGCCTCGCAATGTGGAATGAAAATGCTCTCGAGTGATGAAAATGCTCTCGGAATGTGATGAAAATGCTCTTCGCAATGTGAATGAAAATGCTCTCGCAATTGTGAAAATGCTCCGCAATGTGATGAAAATGCTCTCTGCAAATGTGGATGAAAATGCTCTCGGAATGGGATGAAATGCTCTCGCAATGTGATGAAAATGCTCTCTTAAATGTGGATGAAAATGCTCTCTGCAATGTGGATGAAATGCTCTCGGAATGTGGTGAAAATGTCTGGAATGTGGATGAAATGCTCTCCAATGTGGCAATGTGAATGAAAATGCTCTCGCAATGTGGATGAAAATGCTCTCGGAGTGATGTGGATGGATGAAAATGCTCTCGAAGTGATGAAATGCTCTGGCAATGTGAAGAAATGCTCTCGCAATGTGGTGAAATGCTCTCGAATGTGGATGAAAATGCTCTCGGATGTGAATGAAAATGCTCTCGCATTGGAATGAAAATTTCTCGCAATGTGATGAAAATGCTCTCGGGATGTAAATAAAGCCTCTCGCAATGTGATAAAATGCTCTCGCATGTGATGAAATGCTCTCGCAATGTGAATGAAAATGCTGCTCTCGCAATTGGATGAAAATGCTCTCGCAATGTGAATGAAAATGCTCTCGCATGTGGATGACAATGTCTGAATGTGATGAAAATGCTCTCGCAATGTGGATGAAAATGCTCTCGCAATGTGGATGGAAAATGCTCTCCAAGTGGATGAAAATGCTCTCTGCAATGTGGATGAAAATGTGGATGAAATGCCTCTCGCAATGTGAATGAAATGCTCTCGCATGTGATGAATGCTCTGCAATGTGATAAAATGCTCTTGCATGTGGATGAAATGACTCTGCGGGAATTCTCCTCTCAATGTGAATGAAAAATGCGCTCTCGGAAATGTGGATGAAAATGCTCTCGGAATGCTGGATGAAAATGCTCTCGGATGTGGTGAAACATGCTCTCTGGATGTGAATGGAAAATGCTCTCTTGGAATGTGGATGAAAATGCTCTCTGGAATGTGGATGAAAATGCCTGGAATGTTGGATGAAAATGCTTCGGAATGTGGAATGAAAATGTCGCGAATTTAAAAAAAATAGACGCGCCCACGAGGGACACGTTGAAAATGTGGATGAAAATGCTCTTGGAATTGGATGAAAATGCCTTTGCGAATGTGGATAAAATTCTCGGGAATGTGGATGAAAAATGCTCCCTGGAATGTGGATGAAAAAATGAAAAAAAAAAAGAGCCAAAATCCTCCCACCACCACCACAAAAAAAAAAAAAAAAAAATAGAGAAGTCCCCCCTCGAAGTTCTTCAGGAACAATTGAGCTTCTCCATAGTACTGACTCTCTCCTCTCCCTTTTGTGAAAGAGAATACATATTATTTCATTAAACCTCCTAAGACAAGTGGATATAAATTTATTATTCCATCGCCGCGGGTGGAAGAGAGAAGAGGCTGGAATGTCAGATGGAGGAAAGAGCAGGGAGATTAATTAAAAGTTTTTTCTATTTATCTAAAACATTACTTGGTGGGATAATGAACTTCTGTCAACACTGATTTTTTTTTTTTTTTTTTTTTTTTTTTTTTGTCTTCCTTCTCTCTCTCTCTCTCTCTGTCTTTCTTTTCGTTCTTATTCGGGTGTTTCCTTTTTTTAAAGGAAGGGAAAGAGGTATCGTAAAGTTATGTTGATATATATTTTTTTTTGGGGAGGGGGGAGGGGGTTGAAAGTGTGATGTTCCAAACGAATTTTTTTCCTTTTTTTTTTACTTTTTTTTTTTTTTTTTCTTTTTTTGTTCTTTTCTCTTCCTTCTTTCGTGAACTTCGGTGATGAACATCGGATGTCTCTTGATCTTCATTTGTTTTTCTGCGTTTTTTCTTGAAGTCGATGAGAGAAACGCGACACTCTTTG